TTATTTTGCTCCATTTGCAAACATGAACAAAGAAAAATAAAGGGTTTATATCTACCTGACAAAACCCGCCTAATATATTTCTTCAGACCTCGCTCCTATAAAAGGCAATTGGTGGCAGGGTTGGAAAACAGAAAATATCAGGAAGGCTGCACCCTAAACTGTTAACAGTAGTTCCTTCAAGGGAACATGATGGAAGGGAGGCAGTAGTAGGCAGGGTAAGATATTGAATTATTCTGCTGCATTGTTTAAATCTGTTAAAAGTTAACAAGTATTGTCTGCAACTTAAAAAAATCAATAACATGAGTTTTAAAGAGAGAGAAAATTACCTTACGTGTGACACTGAATGATTCAGATTCTGCAGGGAAATGAGGTTTCTGGGAGGATGAAGAGTTGTTTGTAGAGCCTGAAATCTGAGTCCCTTTCTCCCCCTGAAACACCAACATTGATTCAAAAACAAAAGGAACCAATATTTATGAATGATCCTTGAAATCAGGGCTGACAGGTTGTTTGTGTAAGTCACACTATAGGGGACATAAGTGTATGCTGGTCCATGTGTGAATGGCATGTGCTATTAGAAGAAATCTCAGACATAGCAGGTCTTCATCTTGTGAGAATAACACCTCTAGGAACAGATACCCTAACTGAAGGGACCAAGACAAGCTGATCTGAGACACACTACATCTGTTCTGGCTTCTTGCAGCCACCGTGATGCTATTTAGGATCTGTATTCCTGGCTAAATAAATCTGAAACAAAATCTAAGGGTAGGTTGTAGAAGAAGTATCTTCTGCCAATCTGTAGCCCACCAATCCACCTGTAACTCCACACACACATTTTCATGTTTCTGTGTTCTACCTAAAAAATAAATCACATCTTGAAAATTCTACTCCACACAGATTCCATAATTTACAGAGAAAGACCAGCAGTTCAGTCATCAACTCTTCCCCTCACTAGTGAAATACGGAATGTCATTTCTTGAAACAGGGTGACAAGGAGCAGGACTTCCAGCCCACTTCACTAGAATCTCAATCCAAACAAGAGGCAACTTTGATGAGATAACCACCAAATAAACACCCAAGTAAATTTAGTTTACAATGTAGAGGAGCCAGGAAAAGTGCTTCTGTATTTGACAAACAGCAAGCATCATCACTAATTACAGAGCAATTTGCCCAACTCTTGAGATGATTTGGAGAAAAGGGAAAATTTAAAAATAAATTTCTTCAAAGTACTTGAGAAATACCCTAAAGTAAAAAAAAAAAAAAAATCTTTTCTTTTTAAAATGCACATAACCTTTCTCTTAAGCAGAACAGAAATATTCAATGGACAGTCTGTTCCAGAGAAGACACTTTGCCTTTGCCTTTGAAATTTTAAATTTCAAGGTGAAAGGAAGGGAGGGAGAGAGAGTGGTAGTGGGGAATCCCTTGGCAACTCCCTTCAGATTTCTGAATAGAGAAAGATTTTCAAGCTGTAAACTAACGTTTTGAAGCTACCAACTGTCAGAGTCCATGTTGGGAAGACAGTGGGGAAAGAAATCCTGATGAATTGTCAGTCCAGGATGAGAGCAACCAAGTGTTTTTATAATTCATCAAAGTCAGAGAGACAAAACCATGAAAGCAGATGAATGATGACTACACAAATTATTAACTCGGTGGTTTGTAACATGATGCTTTAGCATAAGGCTGAACTAGTCTACAGGTCTTTCCACAGAAAAAAAGGTACATCAAATTTCAAACTTCAGCTTTGTATCACTTGCATGTCAACAAAACCCACCTGTGGAAGAAACTGATTCCATTAATGGTTCTTGATGACTTTTTTTGTTGTTGTTAATTCACAATTCAAAATACAAAGTGTATTCACCACTATAAAAAATGTATTATGCACTCCAGGTGTTGGTTAATTTACAGTAAAAGAGCATCCTTAAATTACAATACCCAATTGGGTAAGATTGTTCTTAAGAAACTTGGAGAATATCTTTGCTATGTAAATATACAGCAATATGACCAATCATTCCATGTCCACCAAAATGAAAATCAATGTGGAGAAAAATTCATATATTATTAAATCAATATAGAAACTAGAGGCTAATCCTACAAAGATTCATGAACTTACTCACTGCACAATGACCATGTGTTGAGGAATTAGTGACGCAGATTTTCTCCCTCTAACCACAAATCTGACTAGTCCTAAGTTTACCAGATGTCAGTAATTTTTAAACATGCCTTATAAAGCTTCATATTTTAAATTTAACTCTGCCAAAGAAAGGGATTAACCTGAAAACATTGCTTTAGCTTTTTGAAATCAGTCATTCATCCAGATAGTAGAATGTTAGTAACTGAACTTTGGGAGTGTATGAAAACTAAACTATGACCTTTCTTCTTTCAGGTTCTTACAAACAAGTTGGGAGATGGAGAGATTTAACCAGAGTCTTTAGTGCATGTTAGTGTGACTAACTGCATACATCTACCTCCACTGAGAAGTAGGTATGTTCTGTTTTAGCACTTTAAACCTTTAAAAATTAAATGAATTTGCCCAGGCTATACTATGAGAAAATATTTATTCAATATAATCTATATCATAATGCACTCAATTTGTATACTTGGTATTACCAATCTTTGAAAATATATATTCATGGAGAAATAAATGGTCCAAGATTAAGCATATTAACTGTTTTGCTATTAACCATTTACTTTATAAAACTATGCTTATAATTTAAAAACCATAAAAAAGAAAAAAACCACCTTTCTCTCACTTACCTTTCTATAATGTTTCATAATACTTTTATACACAAAATTTTGAAACTATGCCAACTATTTCTATGAAGTCCTAAGTCTTTAAGTATCTGAAGCAATCACTTATATGATATTCTTTTAAAATGTTATTTTATTTTCTTAAAATATCACCTTAGTGAAATAATATATTCTTATTTGTTTCTTAATTGAAGGATACTAAAATTTGCCTAAATTGCTATCAAACTTAACCATATAGCTATGCCAATAATTCTTTATTTTTATTTATATGACATAGTTTGCTAGTTTTTATAGCTGAAGTATAAAAAAGCAAAAGTTAAACAGACATGAACTCTATTCAGTATAAAAGAGAAATTTACCAAATACTTATTTTTAGTGAGACTCTGTCTTCCAGTTGTAACAATTCGTTTGTGCTTTAACTTTGACATTTTTCTGGCATACCTAAGTTAGGGGTTGCAACTCAATCCAGTGTTACCAGGACACAACAACATATAAAAAAATTGGTACGTTATTCAAACAACTTAATATAGATTTCAATTTTAATCATTTTCAAAACTAATATATTTAAAGTGATAAAAACATTTAGAAATTATGCACATTTTAAAGATAATCAGAAAACGATGTTTCAACACATTTGCATTTGGGAAATTTCCTCTCTAACAGTTGTAGCTGCCTTAACAGGAATATTAATTTTAATAAATATACTTTAACATGGCATCAAACATTACCTTCAATTGGATATAAACCACTACTAGCCCAAATCCACATCAACTCTTCCAAAATTTTCCCTTGAAATTTAAAAAGTAAACTATCATGATGAATAAAATAGACATATTTCTCCACATCTTATTACTATTTAATTCGTACAATTTTAAATAACCTAAGGTATACACAAAACAATTACACCCGTGCAGGCATGAGACAACTTAAATCTTAAATAATACTTAAATTTGTAAAAACTCAAATAGTGATCATCAATTTTCATGCAAGCAAAACAGAAAGATTCAATGCATCAATTCCAAAGAGAAAATATTAGATTAATTGAGGAGTTAAAAAAAAGAGGAAAAAATCCATTAATTGTGGCCATATCCAGAATTTCAAACAATCACATTAGAGTAAAATTTTTTGCTAAACCATTTGGCTCTTTTTTGCCCTAACCCAATTTCAGTTGGTTTCTTCATCTGAGTTCCATTATTTCATCACCACATTTAAAGTCTTCGTACCTAAAACGTAACTGACTCTTGATTTGTTTTTTAAAGAACCTCTTTCCTACTTCCTGGTAAGGTTCACAGATTGATCCTGATTATAACACATCATCTCTCTATTTACTTTAATAGTAAACTTTAAATAGCGGGAGACGTTTTTTCTCTGCACATGAATGAATGCAAAAACCAATAATGAATCACTGGCCTGTAAAGTTCACATTGTTTAATGAACAGTAACGCTTGAGACTTTTCAGAATGAATCAAGTATGTGAGTAGATAATAAAATAAAAAAATTTAAAATAAGGAAGTTCCCCTACTTTCAACTTTCCTTGAATCAGTCATATTTAGGAACTGAAATGTTTATCCTTAAACAAGGAGTATCTCCCTATGTGATGTGGAAGACACATGTGTGAGATGGAATTCTATTCTTAGACTTGTTACAATTTTCCCTAGTAATTAGGAAGCTATATGTCCCTAATAGAATGATGCTAACAAGCTCCTGCAGTTTCTACTCTAGCAAGAAATCAAAGAGACCCAAAGCAGACAACTCACTTCAGTAAAAGGATTATGCAGTCTGGTTATTAAAGCGCAGAAAGCTCTTCTTCAGTCTTATATCTGAAGAGCTTTCTAAAAGAGTCAGATTCTACAACCAATATTACATACTAAATAAAAAGAAAATTAAAGAGTGGCTATGGAAGGTATTTAAGAAAAAATATTTAAGATACACAAGTTATTAGAAGAGGCCCATCTCAGATAACTCTTACATTTTGAAACTTTCCCAAAGAAAGATGTCATTACAACAAACACTTGCAATTTCTCATGGAATGTTGACTCTTTTCCACCATTTATTGAGTGTTACTATTACAGCTACAATGCGTCTGCATCCTTCTTTTAAAATGTAAAGCCATGTAAAAATTAAGGGAGTTGGAGCTTTCAAATATAATTATGATGGGCCAGTCTAACGAAATACACATTCAGATATACAAAACACCTAGCAAATGGAAAATAGAAGAGAGTTTGGTCTAACCAACCAGAGCGACACTCACTTACCTTAAGGACTTCCATCGGCACCTGGGTGGCAGAGGGAAGGGTGGTGGGCACACTGACGTTTATGGCTGGTGTCTGACTCACGGGCACTCTCTGTTGCATGAACTGGGCCGCCTGCAGCTTCTGCTGCTGCTCCCTGCGCTCCTGCTCCTGCATCTGCTCACGCATGAGTTGCTGGCGTAGCAAGATGCGTGATGTCATACTGGAGGAGCTTATCGGAGGCTTGGAGGCCCCAGGATGCTCCGCGGAACTGCTGTGGGAAAACCAAAAGGCATACATTTAGTTTCCTAATGAGACCCTCCGTTTGCACTTTGGGGTATCCTAAATTGCACCAAACTATAAAATGAGTCTGTGCAAATATAATCAAGTCACAGAATGGTACTCCACATAATTGAAAATCAAGAGGTGACAGGATTTAAGTCATTAGTAGTTGAATTAAAATAAGTCAGCTTGATTGCATCTAGGCATTTTTATCAGGCGGCTTAATTTTTTTTTTGACATTTTATGCTGCACACTACTCATCACCACCAAATATAGCGCCGCCATATGCACTGCCAAGAAGGAAAGCATCTTAATGGCACCCAAATTTCCACATTTAAAAATAAATTGCTTGATTTGCTTTTTTGTACAACTGAATCTAACCAAATAACTACTCCTACATGTTATCTAAGTTCTTTGAAGATGCCTAAAATGTTTACTAACATGGAATTGATTAAAGCAAAGGTGAGCTTTGCCAAGAGGAAATTTTTCTAAGTTATGAGAAGTAAAAATAATTAATGAAGGAAGCATTTGGGCCAGAATGTTAACACTGAGCTCAACCTCAGTCTTTGGGCAAGGGGGCAGAAGACAAGCTGGTCTGACAAGCCAATACTTCTCTGCCTGGTTTTCTTTGTGCCGTCTTTTCTTCTGATTCACCTTGGCATGCCCTCTACTATGTTAGTATGTGTTCTCCGTGCATTCCCCATGAGGACTACTTCTAATGGTTTTGGTATTCACTCTACCCAAAATTATTTAAAATGCTGAAACTCTACTCACAAATTAAAAAGAAACGACTTTCTAATTTTCCTAAATATGGTTTTCCAGCTCTATGTTATCAAGTTATTAAACCTCTTTCTGCCTTTGTTACCATATCTGGAAAAGAAGGATAACAATAGTTTTCTACCCACTTACCATTTAAAATTTCTATTGTGTCATGTATGTTTTAAAGCCCTACTTCCTAGGGATTTGGGGGGATCAAATAAAACAAGGCACATAAATCCCCTAGCACAGTGAGTACCATATAGTACAGCCTCAACAAATGTTTGCTTTCACTATTATTATATCTAGAAAATGTTTCATTGTTCATTTCTCTTTATGTGTTTTTTTTAACATATCTGTTTAGGTCAACAGTTCAAAGCCTTAGCACCTGGAACAGAAGAAAAGGAACATTTGAGAAAATATTCACTCTTGAGAAAGTCACGCTTCAAGGTAAGTATTTATACTTTGAACATCCTTCCTTGAGTGTAAACTCCAGTATTATATTTTATCTTCGAATACAAGGTAAAATAAAGCCTTAATATCATTGACCATCTTCACGAACTTCTTAAAGACAAAAACTTCAAACTCGGAAGGTAACAAAATGCTAGGCGATGAAGAAGTGTTGGTTCTACCCTCACAGTAGCCCAGAAACACTACACAATAACAATTTAACAGTTCACTTATTTTCACAACAGGAAATCAGTTCAGTAGATTGTCAGAGAATCATAATGTAACATGATGCAGCCATTCAAAACAGTGTAAAAATATATTTACTGACATGAATAAAACTACACAATATAATGAACTTAGAAAAGCCAGGTACAAAATAGCATTTAAGATAAGATCCAAGGTTTTTAGTTTACTTGTTTGTTTTTAAACAAACTGCCCATGACAAGAATAAGTATAAGAATAATGTTACTCTACACCATTGCTTGTATATACTAAAACGACATTACCGAAAAGCTAAAAAATTGTTCATACAATTTGATTCAGAAATGTTGTGATGAACAATTTTCCTAATAACTTAAATTTGCAATGACTCATAAAGTTCTTTACAAACTGGAAAATATTTGAATCATCAAAAATTTGCCCCAGATTATGGGAATAAGTATCTTATACATGAATTCAGTAAAATACTACCTATTTTTTCTTTAAGTTGCACAACTACACAGCAAAGTGGGAAATGTATGCTACAAGAGTAAATATAAAAGTAGGATTCAAAAGGATATTTACATTCTAATTTAAAATGAATGTATACAAGTATGCAAAATGATTAGTAGGGAACGTGCAAAGATCATCACAGTTGCCAGAGTGAGAACAGAATTATAGGTAATTTTATTTTTCTATCATTTTGCTCCCCTAAAGTCATAGTATTTTTTCAATGGCAGAATATATGCCTCTAGATATTAAGTTAAGAGCATGAAGAAAAGACTTGAGTGATCAAAATCACCATTTGGCTAGAAGAAAGGAGACAGAATCCAACATAGACAACATTTTGACAATACGATGGGAAAGTAGTGGCTGTATCCAGCACATCGGCACTCTTGGAAGTGCTCAGCATTCCAGAAAACACAATTTATCTTTCCTTCATGTTTTCCTACGTTTTCTACACACACACACAAATCGAACAATGTTAATACCTTGCTTATTATTTAATATCATGCACTCATCCACATATTAAGGGCACCTGGCTGTTACTCTACGCAAAATATCTATTCACTTGATACAGCTCACAAAAAGCGCAAAAAAGAACATATATTTTCCCACTTTAGAGTATGTGTTCAAAGCTCAAGTGTACCTTCTTAAGCCAAGAAAAGAAGGAGAGCTGTGATGAGGGGCATGGTGGGGGTTAAGGGAGGACGGTTATCTAAAAATAAATAAATAAATAAGCGGCCTTACTATTCAAAGCCTGTCAGGTTAAAACATTCCCAGAGAGACTGATCCTTTTGATAAAAACAGGAGCAAACCTTTGTGCTGTAGCAAATGCAGCTGTGGAATAATCGCACTAATTAGCTGCTCACGACGAGTCATTGGCTGTGATACTGGGGAAAAAATCCTTTCAATTAACAGTAAAGCATTCTTCAGACATCTTAAATTAAAATTTCTAGTTATCAACCACACTAAGGCTTCATACGTGAAAGTCGACAACAACATCACTGAAAGCATTTTCTGAAATACCCTTTCTAAAACAAAATTATGTATGAAGTAGACCAGCATAAATAAAAAGAAACCCCACTAAAAATATAGCAAATATATATGGTATATTTCTATAAATATAGCACAGCTCAGCTAATTGACAGTGTTTTAGTAAATCTTCCCCCAAAAAACCCAGAAGTGCAAAGGAAGCATTAGAGTCGCTTCATGGCACACACTCCCTGCGGGATATTTCCACGTTGTTAAAGATGACTCCCAGATTCTCAGCTTTGCTCTCAATCTTCTAAACATCTCTTTCTCTTAGTGGTAACTGAATCTGCAATTATCACCTTCTAGACAAAAATCATGATATTTGCATGTCATGTTAGCAGGACAAATGAGCATAAAGTCTTAAGCACCAAATTGAGGTTTATGTGAGAACCTTACGAGTGGCAACAACGTTTATTTTCTTAAATGAGGACGTAATGCTAAACCTACTAATGATACACAAGGAGAGATGTCCAAATGTATTTAATTTTAAAAGCTAACTGAACTCATCCCAGGCCAGGAAGCTGAATCTTCGCTAGATAATCCTAATTCCATGAGTCTGATTCCTTTTAATCAGATTATGTAAAGGTCATTTATTCAAATAGTTATTGCCAGGTGCTGAGAATACCTGGTTTCTAATCTCATAGGCTTTAATGCCACAGTCACATAATTCTTCTGAGATGCCTTAAAATTAAGTCAATTACTTAGATTACAGAACTCTGATCCAGTTCCACGTGGGAAGGTGTGCATCTCACCATCAGAAAGCACCCTTTGAAAGCCAATGGGCAGAGAGACAAATGCCTTTACTGGCATGTACTGGCATCACCGAAGCCAGGCATGAAACTCCCCTGAGAACTGGGAATTAGTCGACAATAGCTCGAGGAGGAGGGCCACTGATTGAACTCAAGTGCTAGCTCAGTCACTGCTGAGCAGCATGACCTTTAATGAGCCACTTGACCTCTCTGGGCTTTTCCAAAACCCAGCACTTTAATGTGCTGCAGGGATTGGGTCAGTTAATGTTCACTAAATTAAAATGCTCAGCACAGTAGCTGGAACCTTCAAAGCCTCCCTCTTCTCTATGATGGTATAGGTGTATTGGACACGGGCTCTGAACTATCTGGCATAAACTAAATCCCAGTAGTTTATTCTACTATCTTCATCAGCCACTTAACAATATCAGAAATTCCATTAAATTCAATGCCTCAGCATCCAAATATCTGTCTGCCCAATCCTCACCTTTGACAGTGATGCCAATACTCTTATTATCTCATAGGTATTGGTCTTCGGTCTCAATATCACAGTCTTTTAAGGTAGTACTCTGGTCATCAGTAGAAACCTGGAGATGCTGAAGGAACTGTTATACTTTTCTTTGCATTTCCTTTCTTCCCCTCCTCAGGTAGAGTCCAGCTCTGTGCAGTAACCTGTGACTGTGGCCCAGTTAATCTACTCTGCACTTTGCAATACATCTGCCTCTCAGCACTGTGGTGAGGATTAAAATATTTAATAGATATAAAAAGCTTAGCACAACGACTGAAACACGGTCCAATAAACTGGAACACAGTTCAAAAATTAGTAGTAAAAATAATAATATTAAACCACGAGCTGCTTCTTTTGGATATAAGGAATCTACTTTTCATATGCCTATGTTCAAGTTTGGACCACAGAAGATATGTCTTGTAAAGTTTAGGCAATATCTATTTAAATGAGAGAACTCAAGAAATTTTGCAGGGATGGAGAGAGAATATCATTTATTCTACAAATCTCTCAAGAGCCATAAAGTAAGAATTGTAGCATTTTTTTCAATAAAAAATAATCTTCATTATAGTCATTTGGTTGACAGAGCTCAAAGCCTAGTATTCACTTGCACTGATGTACAATTTATTTATGTCCAGGAAGAAACACAGTGGTTGATATTTATACACAGTAGAGACACAGGAAGGCTCAACAGTATTAACCTCCTGTGAGAGGAGAAAGCTATGTCATGGATGGGTTAAGCTACAGGGGTTTCAAACTGCAAAAGGCTAGCTGAAAAAGCAAAATTAGCTGAGAACTTTG